AGAGAGAGGCAGACAGATCTCTGTGAGTTCGAGGCCAGCCTGGTCTACAAGAGCTAGTTCTAGGACAGGCTCCAAAGTTACAGAGAAACCCTGTTTAAAAAACAAAAACAAAAAAAGAGTGGCCCTGAGGGGCCGATAGAGATGGTTTGGGGTTAAGAGTACTTGTTGCTTTTCCAGGGGGCTTGGGTTTAGTTCTCAGCATTCTCCAACACCAGACAGCTGACAACTGTCTACAATCCCAGCTCTAGCTCTGGCCTTTGTGGGTACCTGCTTTCATGTGTGTATATGCACACACACACACACACACACACACACACACACACACCCCTATCATGCTATTCTACACACACAATTAAAAACAATAAGAGTAAAAAGAAGTGGACCTGAGAGCAGAGCTGAAGGGCTTCAGACACGGGACTCTCTCAAGGGCAGCTGCATAGGTCCAAATAGCAAAGGCCTAGCCCAGGAGGCCCCAGGGCCCAGGAATCTTGCTGTCTAGGGCAGAGTATAGCAGTCCCCAGATCCGGAATTTTCCTAGCTCACAGAATCCCCTCCTGCATGTATAGGGTGGTCTTACTCAGTGGCAAATAGGACAAGGTGAGGGCTCAGGGGGCCTGTCCCCAAAGGCCATGTTCTTCACTGGTACACGCTCAGGCCAGGGCTTGGCACACTTTCCTGTCCCATGTGAACTTGGCTACCCTAGAGTTAGGAGCTTTCCTCCCCACCCACTTTCCTGGTCTCTGACAATAACCCAGGTGGCCTAAGGGATCTGTAGCGGACATTGAGCAACATCCTCCCGACAAGTAATTATAATTCCAGCCGGGCTGCACGGGGCCCAAGAGTGTGTGTACACACAGGTATGTGCCCAGGCCCTTCTGCATGCCCGTGTGCTGTTTTCTGTGCGCCAGAGTGTTTCCCTAAGGACCAGCTCTGAGCTTCAGACACGAGGGGTTTCTGACCCCCTGCTCAGGACAAACCCTATCTTTTCTGCCCCCTCTTACCTGAACCTCAAGTCTAAGATCCAAACACCCTCCAAGCCAACCCCCATCCAAGGACAGCTTCTCCGTCACTCTAACTCAGGAAGAGGTTTTGGTGACTTTGGGAATGAGAAGTCAGTGTGGATGGGTGGGGTGGAGCCCAGACCCCCCAATCCTACTCTCTCTGATCCCTGCTCTCTCCATGGCCCCTTGAAAATAAAATGGGACTGGATCCTTTCCCCTGCTCTGGTACAGACCTGAGCAGGTACCACTGCCCTGGCTCTGAGGGCTCTCAGCTTGGCACCCCTCCCCCTGCCGCCACCTCTCCCTGCAATTCAGGGGACACTCATGCCACACGTGAGTCCCCCCTCACCCACGCCTTTGGCCTCTAAGTGTCTTGCCATTTGTCCTGTGTCCCTCAGCCATCGCAGGCCCGCAGCTCTGGTCTCTGTTCTGCCTGCCCTCCTGATAGCCCCCAGGGGCTGTGCACTAGGCAAATGCTGATGGAACTGAATTTGGCTGCAAGGACGGTGGTGGCTCCCAAGCTGGAGGTAGTGAGCAGAGGAGAAAGAAGGCTGGGGTTGCTGCTGTGTGGCTGCAGGGGTAGGGCAGAGGTATGGCTCCCTCTGTGGATGTCTGGGGAAAACCCTTTCCTTAGGTAGCCCCCTCCTGTATCTGGCAGAGCCAGGGTTTAGCGGCCATATGCAGTCTATACAGGCCTGTGAGGGAACCTCTGGGTGGGTGTGGATAAAACCAGAGACCTAGCTAGCTGTTCGCTGTTTCAAAGAGAAACTGGGAGTTAAAATTTTCCTATTAAGTACCCACTTAAAATTATTTTATGGGTATGGAAGTTTTGTCTGCATATATATGTTTACTACGTACATGCCTCATGTCAGAGGAGGCCAGAAGAGGGCATCAGATGCCCGGGGACTAGAGTTAGAGACAGTTGTGAGCTACCATGTGAGTGTTGGGAATTTAACCCAGGTCCTCTGGAAGAGCAACCAGCGCTGTTAATCATTGAGCAAACTCTCCAGAGCCACAAATCCATGCCTTTTTAAATGTTAGCAATTCCAAACAACAATAACAACAACAGCTCCCTGCTTTAAGAATTAAATGCAAGGTCCATAGGCTAGAGGGGAGTTCCTGGCTTTGTGACAGTACACACGCCTGGGTTGAAGTCAATCTCCAGCGGTCCCTTGCTGAGGGATGGCGAGCAATCAAGACCCTGTCTCTGGAGTTGGTCTCCTCACTAGTGAAGGGGGAAGAATCCAACCCTACTCTCCTGGGCCGTCACCTGCAACACAGACTCCTGGGTGTAGCCACTGCTTCTCCGAGTTCTGGGAAGCCTGTTTTACATGAGGTCTCCAGAAGGGAAACCACTTTCCCTTCCTGGGCCTGTCACTGCCTGAAAAGGAGATGGTATCTCCCCAAAGAAGGTTTGAGATCTGCACTCACCTCGGCAACAGCATTCCAGAAATCTCCTTTGTGTCTGAACAGAGCTGGGGAAAGGCTCTGGAATGTCTGTCTGTCTTCCTTACCTCGAAGGCCTAATGCTCCTCCCCTACGGGCATTCTTTGGAGCCATGCGATCATTGTCCCCCTTATATTTTCATGGGCATACACAAGCCCTGTAGTACTAGATTATCAGCCATTACTCGTCTTTCAGACTTTTGTGGTGAAGGGTTTGAAGCCAGCTTCTCCATTCTGTTGGATTTTGGCCTCTGTCCTCGGAAGTGTTTCTTGAATTACAGAGAGAACACTTTTAGGACACTCGTGCGAATGATTCCTGTCCAGGCCTTAACACCCACCCCTTCTCTTGATGTTTTTATTTTTGTCTTCCAGTAAGCCTAACACTCAGCCTAATGACTCAGTGTCATTGGACTCCACGGTGTCCTGGTTCAGCTCCAAAAGTCACACCAAGCTGCTGCCTTTTGCACTGGGCCGGGCTGTGAGATCCCTAAAGGGGATCCCAACTTGGTACTAATGGTCCTGGGCTCTGAGAGCAGAGAGGGAGCCTCAGAGGAGGAGGTCCAGGTGGTACCTCTGGATGGGGCAGAGAGAGAGAGAGAGAGAGAGAGACAGCAATAGAGACAGAGACAGAGAAAGTTTGTGTGCGCGCATGTGCATGCAAGTGTATGGAGGTCAGAGGACACCCTCAGGTGTCACTATGCACCTTGTAAAACATTTATGTACTTATTTTGTGTGTGGGTGCATGTGTGTGGATGTATGTGCACTTCATGGCATGTGTGTGGAGACAAAGGACTACTTGCAGGAACTGGACTCGATTCTCTCCTTCCATCATGTGGCTTGAACTCCAGTCATTAAACTTGGTGGCAGGTGTCCCTCCTACCTTTCCAGACAGGGTCTCTCATTGCTCTGGAACATCACCAAGTCTAGGCTGGCTGGCTAGCAAGTTCTCGGCATCCACCTCTTTCTGCCTCCCACCTCGCCGTCACTGGAATTACAGGCCCGTTCTAACACACGTAGATTCTAGGGCTCTAGGGATCCAAACCCAGGGCCTCATGTTTTGGAGGCGAACATTTTTTCTGACTGAGCGAGGACTCCGGCCCTCCATCCATACGCTCTCTGTATTCTAAACCCTCTTTCCCTGACCGCCAGACCGCCTGCAGTCCCTGCAACATGAATGAAAAGCAAAGCAATGCTAAGGTGTGCTGACCAGAGCCCCTCTCACATTAGAGCCCTCTGCACCCCACCTTTCTTCTCCCAGCCTGTGCTGTAGTGAATGCCATTCTCTTCATGGCGGGGGTGGGGGGGGTGGGGAACAGGCTCAAATTCTGGTCTCAAAAAAACTGGGTCCAGGCTGGGGATGTGGCTCGGTGCATGGAGCCCTGGGTGTGAGACCCTGTGCTAAGCTGGCAGCACATGTCCAAAATCTCACCATCCGAGAGGTAGAGACGGGAAGATTAGCTTAGGGTCATCTTCAGAAACCTAGTATGTCTGGGGCCAACCCAGGATACATTAGCCCCTGTCTAAAAAACAACAAAACAAAACAAAACAACAAAAACCATGCCTTCATGCTCCATCAGGTTGAGCAACAGAGGAACTGGGGGTTGAGATGGGGGCAAGAGGATTTTTTATGTGCTTTGGGAAGATGGATGAGGTACATGGATGAGGTCCCTGTCCCTCAGATGCTCCGAGTGTCCCTGCTTTCCTACTATTGTGCCTAGGTAGAAGCGCTCGCTGGTGAAGTCTCATTCAAAGTCCAAAGATCCACCCCTTTTCCAGCAGGGCCACGCCCATCCCTGGAAGGGCTTTTTAATTTTTTTTTTTTTTTTTTTTTTTGGTTTCTCAAGACAGAGTTTCTCTGTGGTTTTGGAGTCTGTCCTGGAACTAGCTCTGTAGACCAGGCTGGTCTCGAACTCACAGAGATCCGCCTGCCTCTGCCTCCCAAGTGCTGGGATTAAAGGCGTGTGCCACCATCGCCCGGCTGGAAGGGCTTTTCTTCCCTCCCACGTCTCTGGAACCCAGACACTGGCTGGCCTTTGCCCACAGGGTCATGAGCGCAAGTTTCTCTGCTCAGTTGGGTCACTGGCTCCCAAGTAGAGGTAGGGCACCTGGCTCTGGCCCTGTCCATGCTCAGTGAGGAAGAATTGGAAGAAGGTGTGGCCTGGCTGAGGAGTGGGGGTGAGCAGAAGATGTTGGTACTCTCCAGGAGCGTGGCCAAAGACTAAGATCTTTCATTCTCCTTTGGACCTCCTTCCTATGCAGGGGAGGGATGTCCAAGGTGGAGCCATTGCCCGCAATGGGGCTGGAACCAAGGTTCATGTTCTACTTGGGAGAAGGCCCTATCTTGGCTGGCTAGTTTGTTTGGCTTAAGTCCTTCCTCTGCCCCCATCTTCTCCCCTTCCTCCTGTGCAGGTTGGAATGGAGCGTGTATTAAGCAAGGGGCCAAGGCTCAGGAAGTCACTTGACTTGCCCAGGGTCTACAGCTGGGGAGTGACTAAAGTCAAGCTTTCTCCTCACCCTCAGGCAGGTGACAGAGGCTTTTCCTTTCTCTGAGCAGGTCCAGCAGCGGCCTTCAAGGTAGCCACCCCGTATTCTCTGTACGTGTGTCCTGAAGGGCAGAACGTCACCCTCACCTGCAGGATCCTGGGCTCTGTGCCCAAAGGGCACGACGCGACCTTCTACAAGGCATGGTACCTCAGCTCGCGAAGTGAGGTTCAAGTATGCAAAGAACATCGGCCCATACGCAACTTCACGGCCCAGCACTTTCGTCCACACCATGGAAGCCACCAGATGGCCAATGCCAGCCACGACCAGGCCCAGGCCCACGGGCTCGAGTTAGCTTTCGACCACCACGGTAACTTCTCAATCACCATACACCATGTGACTCTGCAGGACAGCGGTGTCTACTGTTGTCAGGTGTTAGAAATCAAGCACCACCACCTAGACCAACGGTCCTACGGGTACATGGAGCTGCAGGTACAGACAGGTGAGCATTCTGTCCAAATACCTATGGCTGGGGGTGTGGGGAGGAGGTGTCTGCATCTCTGCCACGTGACTATGTATGAGACTATGAGCGATGTGCCCTCAAGGGTATGTTGGCTGTGTAAGGAGTGGGTGCGGACACGTGATTACCTTGTGTGTGCCTCTATTTGTGGCAGAGTGACCTTTTCATGTGAGAGGGTGTACGTACCTAAACTGGTAGCATTTCTCCTGAGAAAATGCAGGCCATAGGGCGGCTAATCGTGTACTTAGTTTGAGTTGATCATGGCTAAATGGCTGTGAGGTGTGTATATATCTGCCTGTCTGCCCAGTTGAGAATGCAAGACCTGACTGAATCGAGATGTACCAGTAGGTACCCATTTGCCTTAGAAGGTGGCATGAGAACATCCGGGGTAAGAAAATGTGTGTGTGTGTGTGTGTGTGTGTCTGTGTGTGTGTGTGTGTGTGTGTGCGTGTGTGTGTGCATGCGTGCTCATATGCTCACACTTGCATGTGTTCACACATGCATAGGTGTGCAGACTCCAGGGGCCAGCATCGCCAGGCAGGCATTAGCATGGATTCCTATGACAAGAGAGGAGTTGCTAGCCTGGACCAACCTCCATGACCCCATGAGCCTCACAGTCACCTAACAGCCCTCTCTTTGTTCCCACAGGCAAAGACTCACCATCGACATGCACCGCATACCCATCTAACGAGCAGGAGAGTGACAGTAAGGATGGCCACCCCCCCGTCTCTTCTGGGCACTCTGTTCTTTCTGTATTGACCGTGGGCCCGGACCCTGTTCTGGACTCTCACCTCGGGACCATATGCCCGCAGACCCCATTTTCTCTGCTGCTTCTATTCCCCTTCTCCTTCTTGACTGTGGCCCCGGAAGCCCCGGCCCCTGCTACTGCTTGCTCTGTGAAGCACAGATCGCCATTCCCACTCGGCAGAGGTGACACATGCTCACACTGCCCAGTGGCACAGCCGGCCAGTGACTGTAGCCTGTCCAGTTCTGTTCACAGTCCTTCTCCTGTGCATGTGGAAGGGGACTGGGCACGCAGAGTGCAGGGAAGCCCCGGTGCTGCCCCAGAGAGAGCTGGAGGGCTCTGCTCTCAGGGAGGCTGGTTGGCGAATGCTCTGTGGCATATACAGTAGGCAAGGGGACATACATGTCTTAGGGTGCCCCCCACTTCCACAGAAAGAGGGCTGTGATTTATAGGTTCATCAGGCATCTAATGTGAGCTACCTCTTGCTTAGGCTCTGGAGGGGCAGAAGGGAAAACCCTGACCCTGACCTCACGCATGAGCATTTGAGCCAGCCGAACAACAGCCTTGTGTGAAGCCTCAAAGACCAAAGCAACTTTCTAGTCAAATTACATGTATTTTCAAACCAACCAACCAACAACCCCACCATGTACAAAACTGAGTGAGAGCCAGCCACACCAGTGTGGCAGGGAGGCCTTTGGTTCACGCCCTTCTGCCACACACTGCTGAGCTCCAGTGTGTCCTCAGCACCAAGCCACGGCGCTGTCCTCACTTCCCCTCTGAGCATCCTCTTCCTTCCCACCAAACGGTTCACACTGTGTGCCCACATGTATGTGTTTGAGGGACAGAGTGGTGGGGCATGGGCGATGGTCACTTCCCCATGGCTCCTTCACTCTGAGCAATCACCCCGGCCCTGCTTCTTCCTCAAGAATCTCTCTTTGCAAACTGCTACTTCTGCTACTGCCTGGCACGTCGTTAGTGGGGGGGGGGGGGCGGGCGCGGGGAGGAGGTTCAGGCAGGTCATGGCTGACCTGGAACTTGCTGTGTAGAACAGGCTGGCCTCAGATTTGCAGCAATCCTCCTGCCTTTGCCTATGAAGTTCTGGGATTTCAGGTGTGAACCACTACACCCAATTTCAATGGGACTTTGTGAAAAGAAGCCGTTATGTTTTCAATCTTGGGGACAGAGACACAAGATGGTAGAGGGGGAGCACTGGAGAAGTGTGAAGTGGACAGGCCAAGGAGGTTGGGGACTTTCCTACTTCTGAGACTCTAGAAGAAAAACGCAAGGGGGAGGTGGAAGTGTAAACTTGACCTCCAAGGTGGTTCGCAAGGTGGTTTCTTTTCCTTGCATCTCCGCCCTTGGGTTTTGATGTCTTAAACCCTTGCCAATTCTTGGAGCTGTGACATCACTTTCTGGCTCCGGCTTCCTTGAGCTATTGTCCAGTGAAGTGTCTTGTTGGGGGCCAAAAGAACATGCTCCATCCCACTGCGGTTGTTGAGGGCAGGGAATGACTGGTGACCTCTGATTGTCCCCTTCCACATTCCTGGTTCATGCAGTCTCCACACTGGCCACTAAACCCGAGTTGGTTCCTGGGTAGACATTGGGAGTATGTGTGGAGAGTCTGGGGAGCACTACCGTTTTCTGCATCATTTCTCTAGTGAGGAACGGGAATGCCTACGACATGTTGTTATCTAAGCACATGTTACCTAGGGCATGGGATGGGAACCGTGTGTGTCTCAGGTCCAGGGGGTTGGAGAACAAAACAGTAGGGAGAAGGTGAATACTGCGCTGAGTACTCAGCCACCAGTCTGCAAGGGTAACTCCATCACCACGGAGGTGTGGGTACCGATTTCCTCTTAATGCACAGGAGGCCTAACATCCCAAGGCAACTCGTCTGTCCCTGTGTTAAGGGATGGGAACTGATGGTACACACAGGTGGGTTTCTGAACCCATTTCTAGAATCTTTGCCTGGCCACCCATGCCATTGCGAAACAGGCCCCAGGGCCAGCTACTAAGCACTATTCTCTCTGCCGTTCATTAACTCTGGAAGGCCCCAACCTCAACTCTCGTACACAAGTGCTCAACTGCACACTCGCTGGGCCTGTTAATGATGCTTCCAGGCCAGCTCTTTGTTTTCCCCCTTTTTCTAATTCCAGTCTGAGTAGCTAAATGCTACCCTGTAGGAGAGTAGAGCTTAGATTAAACCAGGACCAAGTCCAAGTCCACGTTTCAGGTAAGAGGAAGTGTTGGGGAGGGGAAGGAGCCTGCCCAAGGTGTGGGCTGACATTTCAAGGCATTGCCTAGGGGCCGTGGATTTCCCCTGCGATCAGGACAGGGCGGGGCAGCCTGTCTCTGTACCCTTCCCATCCTGTACACAGCAGGATGTGCCAGATGATGCTTTCCTTAGCCTCCTTTGTGCACACCCACGGGTACCTGGCAGGCTCTGAACTTAGACTGAGCAAGCTGGGCCTTCCCATCCTGCCTGCTCTGAGAAGACCTGGCACATGCCATGGGGGTGGCTTTGGCAACTATTTCCGTCAGTGCCTCATCCTCTTCCCAGGAAGAGCCTGACTCCAGATGGAGACTAATCTTTCTCTGCAATGGATGCCACCTTGGAGTAAAGGCAACTACAGTCAGGGTGGCTTTACAAAGGTGTCCTAACCCTCTGGGGGCAGCCGGGTCCGCATACATACCTCTAGAGCCTGCCCCAACAACAGCCTGGACAACAAGCCCAGCGTATATATAAGGAAACAGGCTCTGGAAGTGAAACCAAAGAACTGTAGAGGGCAGGATTGCCACTTGCAGACAAGAGGGTCAGGCAGGGAGGTCCGGGCCAAATCTCCAAGGCAGGTTGTGAGCACCTGGCTAACTGCGCCACGAGTTGCTTAGTAACTGTGGGATGAGAGAAGAGTGCTTCTGCAGCCAGCTTCTCAGGTTGCCCACAGTAAGGTCCTTGGATGGGGTTTAGCCACACTGAACGGCATGAATTATGGACCGTTTTCACTTTCAATATTCCACGTTCAGATGCAGCCGCATTAAAACCGGCAGGGATGCCGCTTTCCTGTGGGTTGGAATGTCCTTTGAAATTCGCCTAGCAATCGGTACTGTTTCCATACCAATGGGTACTTCTGAAGTGCCTGCCAATGGTCTGCTCGGTTCCATACACCTCACTGCGAGCCCATTTATGCTGCCGCATTGCTTAGCCTTACAGTGGGATAAAAATGGCCTTTGTTCCCAAATAAAGTGCAGAGGCAGCAAATAGACCACGGCACATCGGGCTCCTAGAGCTCTCTGGAGGTGAACCCGATCCTATGACAAGAGATCCTAGCCATGCTTTGGCAGAGAGAACGGCTCAAATTGGGAAGGAAATGGCCTTACTCTAGTTGTGGTTCCAAGGGCTCGTCTGTTCCCAGCTAAACTCCTGGAGTCAGCAGATGGACTGAAATAAACCAACCCCCTACGATATGGGGCTCACGCAGTGGCATGGCCCTTTCCGAGACGATTTTGCAACAGCCTAGGAGAAAACACGCACAGGATGGTCTGTGGCTCAGCGCTTTGATGCTAAGTGCTTAGGTCCAGATGTACTGCCCCGGAGAGCAGAAATCTGAGCCCAAGGATTCTTTGTTGCAGTATGAGGACTGTTGAAAATGGAAGTAAACAATGTCCCCACCAGATAGGGATGTTTCCATCCATTTGGGGCAAGTTGTATATAGTAGAGCCCTGGGAAGAATGAAGTGGGTCTCTGTGTAGACAGAGAGATGTCCAAACTGTGTTTGGGGGTCGGGAGAACATTCTTCTGTGTTCCCATAAGATAAGACCAGATCTAGATAGAGGAGGATTGTGGGTTGTGAGGGGGCTCCAGGTTGAGGGGAAGGAAGAGACTTTTTTTTTTAAATGTGTTTACATTTTTGTGTGTGCATGTATGTTATGTGTACATACAGAACCAGAGGTTGATGTTGGGTATCTTCCTTAATTGCTCGCTGCTTAAGTTTTTGAGGTAGATTCTTTCACTGATTCTGTAGCTTATAGTTAGGACAAACTCGCTGACCAGAGATTCCCACGGATTCTCCCATCTCCACACACCCGACCACCACCTCAGTTGACAGCTACATGTGACCATACCTGGCTTCTTAAAAGGGTTCTGGAGAACAGCTTTCAGGTGACCATGCTTACACAGCAACCGCTTTACCAACTGAGACATTTTTCTAGCCACTTTGTTTTTAACTATTTAAAGATTTTTTTTTTTTTTAAAGGACATTTCTTTAGTCTTCCCTCCCTTTCTCGAGTGCTAGGAATGGAATTCAGGGGCTATGCATGCTAGTCAAATGCTATACCCCTACCCTAATTCTCTAATTCTTGTGGCAAATTGTATTCTCTTGTAACTGGTGTGTGTGTGCACGTGTCCATGAGTGATCATGGGCCAAGCTTCTAGGGTTCTCAGTCTAGAAAGATCAAAGGTCCCCTTCAAAGGATGGGCTAGGGTTTATTTTTATTTTTTGAGACAGGGTTTCTCTATGTAGTCCTGACTGTGCTAGAACTCACTCTGTAGACCAGGCTGGCCTTGAACTCACTGAGATCCACCTGCCTTTGCCTCCTGAGTGCAAAGTGGCTTGCACCATCATGCCTGGTAAGGCTGGAGTATTCTGTCTTCATTGCAGTAAAACATTCATCTTTAAAAGCAAGTGGGGTGGGGGACACAGGGCTGTCTCTGAAAGGATGTTACTAGACCTTCCTGGCTTCTTCAGGTCACTAAGGGTCTGGGTATGGGGCCCGGATGCCTGGGCCTCTCATCCTGTTTGCTCTGAAACCATGGGTGTGGTTTGGACAACTACTTCTTTTTTTTAAATTATTTATTATGTATACATACATATATGCCAGAAGAGGGCACCAGACTTCATTACAGATCGTTATGAGCCATCATGTGGTTGCTGGGAATTGAACTCAGGACCTCTGGAAGAAAAGCCAGTGTTCTTAACCTCTGAGCCGTCTCTCCAGCCCCAACAACTACTTCTTCCAGTGCCTCATCATCTTCCTATGAAGAGCCTGGCTCCAGATGGAAACTAAGCTTTCTCTGCAATGGGTACCCCTTGGAATGAAGGGAACTGCAGTCAGGGTGGCTTTACAAAGGTGTCCTAAGCCTTTGGGGTAGCCGGGCCCACATACATATCTCCAGAGTCTGTACCCACAGAGCTTGGGAACCTTCCCACAAATGCTATGTGGATTCTATTCCTGCCCAGCTCCCTTCTCCTATCTAATAGAATCTGACCACCTCTGGGGGGGGGGGTCATTCTGTGACTCAGTTTCCCTTCTGAAGTGGGAAGGGGGCCCTCACATCTGCTGCTCTTGTCCTTCTAGGTATCACAGCTGCAGCCCTGGCCACGGGTGCCTGCATCGTGGGGATCCTCTGCCTGCCACTCATCCTGCTGCTGGTCTATAAGCAGAGGCAGGTGGCTTCTCACCGCCGTAAGTACCTTCGCCTGGGATGGTGATGGGGTTTCCTGGCTGCAAGGTCAGGGAAAGCATGGGACTTGAGGGCTGCACAGGCCTTTCCCATTTTTTTTTTTTTTGCACCCCTGCAAGAAGCTGACTCTGTGGCTGAGAGAGAAGGGCACCTACATATGCCTTTCTTTCTGGGCCTGATGTCTGCCAGCGGCTTCAGTGCCCATGCAGGGGTGGCTTGTCACTGCATATGAATGAGTAGATAGCCACACTGAATGGCAGGGCTTGCTCAAACTGGTTTATAAAGATGCTGCCGCTCAGAGATCCCTTAGAGACCTGCTTGTGTCTGTGGGTGGGTTTTGTTTTGTAATGAGCAGCAGTTGCTGGGACAGAAACAAGTTTTGGGATGTGAGAACTAGCGGAGCTTTTAGCTGGAGCTTCAGTTGTCCCTCTCCTTCCACAGACAAGAGCTCAGACTCTGCACGTTAACTAGCCGAATGTCATAAGACATTGGAAATGCAGAGCTGAGGTGGTCCCCAGTTGCTGGGGTCACCCTGCCAGGCACTATGCCAAGTCACATCTGTGCTTCACTTATTCACCACAACACCCCAAATAGGGGACATTGCTGTCCTCATTTTACAGACGGACAAATCGAGGCTGGGGGGGGGGACGGGGGGAGGACATGGTTCCCTGACTTCCCCGGGGCCAGGGCGGTTCCCTGACTTGCCTTACGAAACCCACTGCAAATAAATGGGGAGCTAGGCTTCAAGTTCATGGCCACAAACACCAGTCTCATCCCTTTTCTGGGTGACAAGGCCCCTTGTCTGCCCCAGCCTCTCCTATGAGCCTCTGTTCAGCCTACATTCTCTGAGGGGTGGGAGCCCGGGGGTACGGGGAGCTCTGTTCTTGCACTTCCTCCCTCCGCCTAGCTACAGAAGGTAATTGAGGGAAGGCTATTGTCACCGGGTCACACCAGATTTCCTCTGCCCTCCCCTTCACCTCTCAATCAGCCTGCCATCCCCTTACCCTCTTTCCTGGAGGCCCCCAGTGAGCCCCTGTGGGCTGTGGCCTCCTCTCCCTTCCTCTCAGGCGGTTTCTTCCAGTTATAAACCTACTGCAGCCTGCCTGTGGGCATCCCTAAAGGGGCAGCCTGGAGCACGTGACAGACTAGAGTGAAGGAGGAACCCAGAGCTCTGGAGGGGGAGAAATGGCGGAGGGGACAGCGGGGGAGATGCCAGGGTTAGGCTAGGTTCCGATGGATTCCCAGGTGCTGTTTTCTCTTCCCTTTGCCCAGACCACGCAGTGTCTGGTCACGTGGTCAGATGGTCACGTGGTCAGAAGGGACCAAGCACTGGGAAGCAGACCCTTCTAGGCTGGCAGCTACAAGTGTGCTGGGGGCTTCACACAGCCTTTCTTGGGCCCGACCTTTCTTGTAGGGCATCTACAGGGTTCCCATTCTGCTCATGAGACCTAGTAGAACAGAGATGGCTGGAGGAAAGAAGACTGAAGTGCGTGTGTTTGTGTGCGTGCACATGTTATGTGTGTGTGTTACCATTCATGTGGGGTTCTGAAGACACAGGTCCCAGTTCACTTATACCATATACCTTCAGTCTAAACACTGGATTCCAACTTCCCATCTGTCCCTGGAAAGCATGTGACCTGGACTTAGAGACTAGCCCTGGGATGGCAATGGGCTGGAATGGGCTGCCCTTCACGCCATGTTGAGTGACTGTGGAGAACAGCCTTGTCCTGTAGCCTGCTACTGTCCCAGAGTAAGGATGTCTCACGTACAGTAACAGGAAAGGGGACAAGAATTTATCTCCTAGCACGTGCCTTTAATCCCAGCCCTCATGAGGCAGAGGCAGGCAGATCTCTAAGTCTGATGTCAACCTGGTCTACATAGTGAGTTTCAGGGCAGCCAGAACTACATAGTGAGACCCTGTCTTGAAAAAAAAAACAAAAAAACCAAAATTATCTTCTAAAGCAGATACTTCCAAGTCTTTTCTCTGCCTCCGAATGGAAGTCCCCAAATCCGTCCTGTGACTTCAGACTTAGCAACAGAAACACATGTCAGAAGTGTTAATGCCTAGACAAGCAGAGCTCTGAAGGACAGACCGTGGTGTCTGGGGAGTCACTGATCCATACAGACCCCAGAGTAGCAGCTGTGAGTGTTGGGAACCAAAAGCAATCAGCAGGTCTCAGCACTTGGGCTGCGGCAGGTCAGCTCCTAGGGCATGGCGCACTCTGGGCAGAAAGCTTCTGAGTGCTGGGCTGGGGGCTGGGTTACCTGGAGACTAGCATGCTGGGGACGAGAGAAAAAGAACGAACGGGCAGCTCGGCATCCCTCAGCTCTAAAGTGGAGGTCGCCATCTTTACCCCAGAGCAAAGTGGTGAGGACGGGCTTGGCCCACGCAGCCTGACACAGAGTCACTCTGTCAGCAGAAGTGACCTAGATTTCAGGAACTTTGTGCAACTTCCCTGTGCTGGTCTTGCCGATGCCCCTCCCCTGGGCCATTTCCCCATGCAAACCTCCTCCTATAAGAAGGACCTGTGAGGCTGTGGGGAGCTGCAAGAAATAGGGAAGTTGGTGTCCTTGCATTTGGATGATGGGCAGTTTTAGGGGGACCCCAAGGATGGTAGTAGCTTGTGGGGGAGAAAATGACAGAAAGGATGGGATGGGATGGAGAGATTGAGGAAAGAACAGACTTTCTAATCTTAGGAGCTGACCTTGAACCCTCTACCCTATAAGCTGTGACTTAAGACCAGAGAGGTAAACTTCCCAATAGGAAGCGACTGTCAGCACATGCAGGGACTTGGCCTTTGGTTGAAACTTAGATTCTCAAGTTGTGACATTGTCAGGATGCAGGGAAGAGTGTAAGCCTGGGGCCAAACATCATCCCACATGTGGAAAAGACAGACGTATTTCACTGGTACACAAAGGCATCTATCTGCACCTTGCATCCACCTGCTAAGACAGACACATGGAACTCGGGACTCTTCAGGGAAAATATGGGCTCCTGGGTATGCTCCCAGTGCAGGGGGTGGGGCCTGCAGAAGGCTTCCTTCCTGTGACCAGCTTTTCTGTCTATCTGTAGGTGCCCAGGAGTTGGTGACGATGGACAGGTAAGGCCCACAGTGACTTTGAGAAATTTTCTGGGACCCAGACATCAGGGAAGGGGTGTTCCTGTGTGATGTGGGGCCTCTACTCAGCTCGACACAGCTGCTCAGAGCAACATCTGGCACATGTGGCCTGCTGGGCTGTTCTGTGTGCCACCTGCCCTGCTAGGCCCTGATTCTGCTTGGAAGTGCTTTAGTGGGTACCTTTGGGTCTCAGTGGCCACCCTGGCTGAGGATGAGCAGCAGTAGAAATAGTTGGCTGGGGTAGACATTACAAATGCATAGGAGGCCCATGACCCAGGCACAGCCCAGTGCACGGGGGATGGCTTGGCTGTGCCCGGCATTCCACGAGAAAGCTCTCAGGCTGAGCAGGCATGAACAAGCCGATGGCTGCTCTGGGGGTAGAGAGGTCAGAGACGGACAGTCAGGACAATGTTATCTGGGCTTGGGCTTGGGCTGGCTTGGATGGGTTTAGAAATTAGTCACCTCTGGAAGCTTGGTCCCTGTCCTACAATGTGCTTGAAGGAGACAGCATCGCAGATATGCCAAAGGAAGGTCTACCAGTGATCCCACTAGAATCTTGGAGCTGAAAGGCTTTAATAGGCCACCCCTGTCCAGCTAGGAAGAGAAGAAAAGTAAGGGGAGGCAGGAAGGACAGAAGGTCTCTGAGTGGCACTGACCACCCCTAATTCTGCTTCTCTGGCAGCAACACCCAAGGTATCGAAAACCCAGGCTTTGAGAACACCCCACCCTTCCAGGGGATGCCCGAGGCAAAGACCAGACCCCCACTGTCCTATGTGGCTCAGCGGCAACCTTCGGAATCAGGACGGCATCTACTCTCTGACCCCAGCACACCTCTGTCTCCTCCAGGCCCTGGGGATGTCTTCTTTCCATCCCTAGGTGAGTGTCACCAGATTTTACAGTACCCTGACTAATAAACAATAGAACTGCAGGCTCTGCAGGGCCCCCCAACATTGGGGAATCTTCATGGTGCACAGTTGAACAAGGATATACAGACACCCCCCATATTCACTTCTTTGTCCTTTCTTTTACAGATCCAGTCCCTGACTCCCCTAACTCTGAAGTCATCTAAACCAGCTTGGGGACCACGGACAATGGTACCTGGATTAGGGGCAGGTGCATTTGATCTATGGCTGGCCTTTTAAACAGACCTTTAGGCATTGGCCCCAGCCTCCCCTCTCCTGATCTGAGTCTAGACTTCGCTTTACAAGATGTGTGGACCCTCCCCACTACCACTTCTGGATGCTACACGGGGTTGGGGCGGGGTGGGGAGAAGATGCTGGACTGCTCATTGCTGTTCTCAAGATCTTGGGGTGCCCAGTGCTCCCTAGAGACTTCACATTGCCAGCACAGATGCCAAATGACTTTAGAAGTCCCGGAGTATCCGGCTTGGCAGCAGCTTTTCTTCGTGGGAACCAGCAGCCCAGATGGGATGAGGTAACCACCTTGCCACCCTCCCAAGCAAGGGACACAAGCCATGAGAGACTCCTGCCCTGCTGTGGATATGTGGTTGACCTGCTCTTTTGTCTGAGGATGCTCTGTTGGCCTGACTATCCCCGAGACTCTGGAGCTTGGCTTGCCTATGCCCCACGAGGGGAGCTTCCTCAACAGCCTGCCAGCCATTTGAGGGTCTGTCAACAGTTTAAGTGACTCTGGGCTCTCATGGCCTGTATGGCAGTCCGCAGAGTTCAATGGCCAAAGGCTCTGAAACAGGAAGTACATGTTGTGTCCAGGAGCCATTGTGTCTTGAGCCACGTCGTACACGAAGGGTGGTAAGGGCAGGTGGGGAAGGTGAGTGGATACTGGCCTTCCTGTCCTCATCACCCACCAGTCCCACTGCTCAGTGTGGGGCAATGACAAAGGTGACCTCCATGATGTCCTATCTATACTGGGCCACTTCTTAGTATGAAAGAGATGCTATTAAAAACAGTACGTGGCAACAGCTGTACACAGCAAGGAGGGAATGGTAGGCATCAGCTTTAAGGCCCTGGGAGTGGGGGGGGGGTGCAGGGAGGGCGAGGGATGGGGGCATCTAGGGCCTGGGCATCCTTCCAGCCCTAACCACTGATCTTCAGGGTGACTTGCAGGCACATAAAAGAGCTTGTCCCTCCCTGGTTGATGTTGCTCTTGGTTCCCATCTCCAGGGTCTGGCGTGACCCGGGCACACAAGGAGAATCCTTCATGAAGGATTTAAAGCATGAACAGAAAAGACAGTCCCTTTGAGGTAGAAACTGTGCAGCTGATGTCTGAGAGTGAGGAGGGGTGAGGCTGGGCAAGTCGCCCTTCAGCCTCCAGTGGGACGGTAGCCCCATCACTGGAAAAGCTGCCTCCCCTGGCAGGAGTGAACTGGGCCTGGATAGGAAAGCTCATACCCAGGGCCTGCGGGCAGTAAGAAACCCACTCCTTGCCTGGGGACAGATGGGTAGGGGTACAAAGAACAGTTCCAGGCTGAATCACAGCAGTAAGCTGCCTGTTGGGAACTTGGATAGGTTGTCTGGTAAGGTCCAAGAGCATAGGCCCCTGTGGGATGCCAGCTATGTCTGCGGCTTGGAGTTCTGAAGCTCTGTATCATCACAGGAGTGTTGGGGTAGTCAGGACACCCAAACCATGACTCCTCTTGTGTCCCCAGGGTCCCCTCTTTCACCCCACCTGTTGCCATAGACTCTATGCAGTTACTATAGATAGAGCATGTTGTTCTTTTGGCTTTTGGGGCACCAGGATGGAGTGGGGGAAGTGCCAGCTGTTTTGGGGCCTCTGTCAAAGAAAAAAACCCCACACATCAGCTATAAGATGGGTATAGCCTGTCCCCTGGGGGAGGCTGGCCTATCTCCAGCCCTAAGCTTCAGACCTTGCCACCCAGATGTCTTCTAAGAATTTGACTGTCGAGCCCCTGTCTGGCTGCTGCTCTGTGGAAAGGGGAGGAGCCCCCCAACCTCCTCAGCAGAACAGCCACTCACTTCCTGCCCAGCTTCAGCTTCCTTCTGCAGGGCTCTAGTCTCTTCTCTTCTGGACCCTGCAAGTGCAGGCACGTCAGCTTCATGGTTTCCTGTTTTTGATGCAGTTTTTGTGAGGTCCAGCCTCTGTCTACATCCATGAACTTGGGTCCTACCACCTGGCTGCTGCTGTGGAGGGGCGGGGTCTGGGGGTTGGGAATGGAGGGGTCCTGCCCTGGGGGCGAGAGATTGGGTGGTGATGAGACAGAGTAGGAAACTGAGCTTCCAGGAGGAGGGAGGAGCCCTGTAGTCTTCCAAGCCATATTGGACTCCTGGCATTAGCAGGAGCCTAGGAAGAGAAGTCATATGTTCTGAAGAACTAATTCATCCTTAGGAGGTATATCAGAAATCAGAGGGTGCTTTGCCTGTCTCTAGTAAATCTCTCCTTGGGACTGGGATGGGAGGGACCAGTAGGAAAGGTTTCTGATGTGGCAAGGACATCTTGACAGGCCAAAGGCCACTGGTGGCTGTTGTAGACCCAGCAGGCCCTGCTGGAGTACTGTAGTGTGCCTCAAACTGGCTTCTCCAAAGAGCAGTTCTGGGGCTACCCTGCTTCTGTCTGACCAGTATTTTCCCTGCATGAGGTAGCTGAGAGCCTAGGCAGAGGCTGGTCCTTCAGGGACTGCTCCCCCCAGGAATGCCTTGGAGGAGGCAGCTAGGATGAAGGCTGCAGAAGCCTGGTGATCTTTGATAATCTCAGTCCTGGTAGTAGGCTACCTCCTGGAAAGGGGTTTCCTGAGTGTGAACTGGAGCATCACCCCAAGGTTGACCTGGCTATAGTGGGAGCCTCGGGGAACTAAAATAGGCAAAAGAGGAACTTGGGGTGCCAAGTGGGATAGTGGGAGGCACAAGTCCTTTGAAAACAAACAGCCCAGCTGAATGCCAGTCCCAGATATAGAGAGCATGAACCATGTGGCCCATGCCCTGCATGGCCGCTCCTTTCCCCTGACACTTTCCTTGCCCACAATGAATTTGAGTCCTGGGAGGGCAGGGAGTAACAACAGTTTGAGGCTGCCTGGGGAACTGATAGCTGATACACAATCGTTGGGTAACTGGGCTGAATCAGGACCCCAGGATTATACTCTGGGGACCTAGCTTTGTCTGGGCCTGCTAGGATCTCCGTAATGGCATTATGGCTTTAAGCTTGTGATGCCAAGGGATAAACATTTCACTGGGTTTCGTGGTTCTGATCTGTTGGTGTGGCTTCCTGGAATATTTGGTAGGAGGAATTAAGATGTGATGATACAGCTGATCAGAGTGTTGAGATTGATTGCTAATGCCTGCCTTGGATACAGGAAGAGGAAGTAGCAGTATGGATGCCATTTCTTAATCTTTTTTTGTTAAAATATGCTTCCCCAAAGATTTTCATGTGTGTTTTTGCTTATTTGACATCAACCCTGAAAGTCTTTTTGTGTGCATGTGTACAAAGGATGCATGAATATATGTTTATGTGTATGTATATGGAAGAAGGAAATCACCATTGGGTATCTTCCTCCATTCCTCTGCAATGCATTTTAGAAAAGATTTATTTACTTTATGAATGTTTTACCTAAATGCATGTATATTCATCATGTGTATGCCTGTTGGATCCCTTGGAACTAGAGTTATAAATAGTTATGAGCTGCCGTATGAATGCTGGGAATCAAACCTGGATCCTCTGCAAGAGCAACAAATTAAAAGATGGGTTTTAATTACTGAACTATCTTTCTAGTCCTACCATTGTATTTTTAGTATATATTTAAATATTTTATGTGCATGGGTTTTTGCCTGCATGTATGTATGAGCACCACATGTGTGCCCGGTGCCCTGTGGAGGCCGGGGGAGGGGAGCACTGGATCTGTCGGAAATGGAGTTATCGACAGCTGTGAGCTGCCATGTGGGTGGAATCAGCCTGGGTCCTCTGGAAACAGAGCAAGCGCTCTTAACTACTGAGCCATCTCTTCTAGGGCCTCTGCTTTATTCCTGACAGACTCTTCAGTGAATGTGGAGCTCACCAATAGGCTGGGCGGACTGAGCAGTAAGCTCTGTGGATCTGCCTGTCTCTGAACCCCGCCTACCTCTACCTCCACCCTACCCCCATCAACAGCTAGGGTCACAGACCACATGCCGTCATGTCTGGCTCTTTTCTGTGGATGCCGGGAATTAGAACTCGGGTCCTCATGCTTGTGTGACAAGCACTGTATCTACTGAGCTACCCCACCAAGAGTCTTTACTGTCCTCTCTTAAAGCAGAAGGAAATGGAGGTTCTGAAAGGCTTCTGTGTGGCTGGTGGGATAACTGGTGGCTCCCATTGCCTCTCAGGCCTGTCCCCCCTCTCCTCCCTTCATTGAACCAAACAGCCTTCTTGCCCAGGACCTGCTCTTGCCCTCAGCTTGTGCACACTGGGCTCCTGAGAGGTGAACCTGAACCCACAAGTTTGTGGTTCCAGTTTGCTCCATTCCAGAAATACATTCTTATTTATGCTCTGTCTTCTCTGGCCTTCTCACGACCCAGAGGACCTGTGCTAATGTGTGGGCTCCTCCCATACCATTTGTCACTCCCTTCCTGCCTGCTGACCTCCAGGCCAAATGACTTCTGGTGGGCACTGGGGCCCATGCACTAGACATGTTGGCATCAGGGGAAAGGGAAGGGACCAGAGCTCCGTCTGACCACTGAGTCCCAGGAGCTCGGCCAGCTGTGTGTCCAGCATCTGGGGAGTGGCAGAATGCCTCTCAACCAGTAAGGTGAGCTACAGCTGGGGCTTTATTGGCCGCACATCCTGTTGCTCTCTGACAGCGTGTTTGATAAATTGCTTAAAAAAAAAAAAAAAGTCAAGGTGAAAGGCCAGGGGCTGGGTTCCTCTCTTGCTGACCTGGGGCAGTTCTGCCTTCCTGATGTGAACACAAGGAAATGCCCAGGCTGGGGGCCGGAGGTATTCCCCGGAAAACTGGGGTCCTTATTGCAGAGGCTCGCTTTAAAAAAATGTAGTGAGCTCTAGGGTAGCGTTCCCACCTCACGGCCCACCTTGGAGCCCCGGCCAGGGGTGTGGGGTGTGGATTTTCTCTCTAGTAACCCGAGTAGTCAGGGTTATCTGCAACTGTATTTCCTGCTGCTGGCTGCCATGCGTATGTCAAAAAGGGCACCCTCTTTCCTAAACCTCCTGCCAAGGTGCCTCAGGGCCAGGGCCTCCTCTTTGCCTTCCGTCCTTCCTCCCTGGACCCAGCCCTTCCTCCTGTAGGGGCCCCTTGATAGCCACTTGGGCCTTGCCATAGTCCTGCCTTTCCTGCCCGTGGCTCGGAGCTAACAGAGGTCCCAAGCAATACAATGATTTCCTCTGGCCGGGTGGCAGGCCATTGTGTGGCAGGCCTAGGGCTGGCCCGGATGGCCCTAGCAACCCAGCTGTCCCTGGCCTGGGTGATACAGGGTAAAGGCTGTGGATAGGAATGTCCGGCTTTGGGAGGCAAGGGGATGTTACCCAGGGAAGAAAGAAGGAGAAGGGGTGTGGACACAGGGGTTCTTCTGGGATATGGGGACTTTCTCGGCAGCCGATTCCTAAACCCTATGCTACAAATAACACCTGTAAAATGACTTAACGGGCAGAGACACTTGGAGACAAGCCTGATGATCTCAGTTCAAAACCCCAGAACCCACATGGTAGAAGGAGAGAACTGATTTTGATAAGCTGGCCTATGATTTTCACATGCATGCTGTGACAGGTATGCACCTGTGCCCATACACATGCCTTCCCCTCACAAAAATAATAAATAAATATTTAAAAATATGATGATATGGCCTACATAACCTTCCTGATCTCTGGCTCTGAGCTCCCAGCACTGGGTCACATCATGCCCAGCGTGTCAGTTTTGTCCTGTGTCCTTCCCCCAGACTGTCTGTCTGTGGTGTCCTAGCCTGTGGCATAGCCTTGCTGCTGCAGACTTAAAAGGATGAAGCAGCTCTCCCAGATAAACAGCTACGGAGACTGTGTAGTCAGAGGTCTTGTCTGAGGCTGAACACCGCCCAGGGCTGGCCTGCAGCTGTGAGTCCCACCGCTTGCCTCTGTCTGGGAGGATGCTCAAACCATATCATGGGTGTGCTTGGTAACTCCACCGGACTGGCAGGCAGAGAGGGGCCCATTGCCCCATCTCCAGGCAGAGGGGAGGGTTTCATGCTTGTCTCTCAGATCCTGCCCCTGAGGTCAATGTAGTTTTTCCATGAAGTGATTATAGTGATTTCAAGTCACAGGGCTAAGGATATGGCTCAGTTGGTGGAGTACCCCCCACAGGATCTATTTTCTCACAAGTCATGGGATCAACCCCCAGCACTGTATAAACCGGGGCATGGTGATACACACTTAAAATCTCAGCTTTCTCAGGAAGTGGAGGCAGGAGGATCAGAAGTTCAAGGCCATTCTCAGCTGTATTCTGAGTTTGGACCAACCTAGGCTACATGAAAACTTATCAAGACACTGATCAAATGACAGAGCTCTGTCTTCAATGCCAAGAAACCACGACACCCCGAAGAATGGATTTTCCCACTTCACCTATTTCTCCTGTGATTCTTCCACTTAGCATCAGCTTTCTTTCAAACCAAGAAGTCCAAGAAACACCAACTGTTACCGAGCACAAAATCAATCTTGCAATTATTGAGGCTGTATATATGAAAAGAAGGCAACCGACTTTTGACTCTGTAGCTGAAGGTCTGGTACTTGTAGCCAAACGTATCACTGAAGATGACTGAAACTGCATCCTTCCACGGCATCACAAAAACAATACCCCCACCCCCCCAGTTACCCATGTCCTTTTGAGCTCACTAGCATGACTGGCTAAGCTAGCAGACACCAAGCTGTCCTGGCAGTGAGGATGCTGGTTAGGAGGCAGGGCGGAGTGAGTCTTGTTTCCCACTTCAAAATGTGATGAGTGTTCCTGGGGCTGTTGGCCCAGTTCCTACCCCATCATCAGAGTTATTCCAGATGAATGCCAGCCTGGACCTGCTATGCCCTCCTGCAGGGCCATTGATACCACGGGTACCTAAAGACAGCTCTCGGGGGTCGAGAGCACCTAAGTGAAACGTATCCAATCTTCACCTTCATTGAGGCCACACTCTGTGCAGTGTGTGTGACTTGCTCTGGCCAAGAGAAAGTCACAGAGGAATCCTGTACCAGCTCAAGCCTGGCAATCACTGGGCCTTGCATGTATCCTGTGCTCTTTTCCTTCTTGGGCCTTCGGAACGGGCATAGGTTTGCTAGTTAGAGGGGCTGTCCCTGTCACCTTCGACGGATGCCAGTCAACCCCCAGAAGTACAGCCTTACCGGCTGACATGCAGCAGCATGCACAGGACAGGAACCCCAGCTGAGATCTGAACTGTCTGGCTGAGCTTGGTCTATACCACGCCTGCAGATCAAGGCCTTGCTTCACGCCAGCCCTGGGTCTGATCTGCCTCACTGTGGGAGAGATGGCAGACGCGATTCTCCCCGCATCTCCCGTGTTTACCATGCCCTTGTGCCAACCTGAGCTAATTCAGTTTCCCAAAACACCAGCTCCGCAGATCTTATCTGCCTTTACAGGTAACAAAGGTGAGGTTCTGGCAGGCTCTGACTGGCCAGCTTTCAAGGTCCCAAGTCACAGGCCACTCACTCCTCCAGCTCGCTCCCTGTCTCCACCCAGTCTACCGGCCATGCCTCCTTCCCCAACTCCGCAAACCACATAGCCGTGAGCATCATATAATCATGGGCTGTGGCCCTGGCCGCCCAAGCATCAGACAGGATGACAACCGTCAGCCCTTCCTACCTCCAGTGTTGTGACAATGCCACGCCAGTCTGCAGAGAGAGGGCCAGAGGGCTGCACTGCCTTATGGTTGAGTGTGGCCCTGCAGAGCACAGTTTGCTCACCAGTCCCTCTTACTCCCTGGCCAAGGCCTGATGTCAGGCTCATCTGATAGCATCATTTAGTGAGACCAGAAGATGGACAGAGACCCAGAGCAGTGCAGAATAGAGAGACCCAGCTTCCTGCTTGGCATACACCTGCCCCGTGAGGCTCCTGGGCTGTGAACTAAAGGTCCACAACCTAGGAGGTTTCAATGGTTTGAGGGCTATGCGGGGCTTCAGCCCTATTATTTGGCTTCTCCCACACAGGGGGCAGCACTATCCCATCCACTTCCATTGCTTACCGACAGTGTGGGGGTGCCCTCATCCTCCACAGTGACCACCAGATGGTAGAAATTCTGGCGTTCCCGATCAGGTGGGGCAGGCCGCGTGGCAATCTCACCGCTGATCCGGTCCATGCGGAAAGTCATATCCTCATTGCCCTCGGTGATGTAATAGGACAGGACACTGTTGATCCCAATGTCACGGTCAGTGGCTCTCACCTGAACCACAGAGGTGCCTCCGCCCACATTCTGGCAGGAGAGCAGAAAGTGGTTATCCCAGGGTCACAGCCTTCAAGGAATAGCCTTGCCCTGCTCCTGGCACCTCAAGGCTTCACTTGGGGCCCCTGAAAGCTCTGCTTTGTGTCCCCTGGGGCAAGGATGAGGTGACAGGATGCTGGTAGACAATGTGTTTTGGACACCTCCTACAGGACAGGTCCTGGGTGAGAGCTCCTTGGTTCTGGTCTGGATCTGTGAGCTCAGATTGGATGCTCACATTTATATATGAGAAAAACTTCAGGTGCTGCAGGGGAAAGATGCATGCACAGCCACACAGTCAATCAGAGGCTAGTGTGGGCATCTGCCCCGAGAGCGGGGCTCTACCTTAAACCACCTTCCTTCATGAGCTGCCCCTGGCAAGGCTTGGAAAATGTCTTCCTGCAGTCAACCAACCTTAGTGACAGGTAATGCATATATTTGTTTGAAAAGGAAGCTATTGCAGGGTCTCTGCTTCTACCACAAAAATATAATGAAGGGCTGGGGACTAGGGCTGCATCTATTTCTATTCTGAGGAGTGAGTGACCAGTGGGCCAGGCAGACATTTAAATGGGTGTCTCGTGGTCAGCTTTTGTCCATGGTCCACCCTGGGTATCTGGAGTGTCTTTACCTCATTCACACTGACGTTGTATCCAGAGGGGCTCTCAATCACTGGAGGGTTGTCGTTGACATCCAGAACGGTCACCTGTAGGATGTGTTCTTTCTTCCGTGGAGGGGTGCCACAGTCGGAAGCCACAACCTGTGGGGCGAAAGAGGAGGGGGCTCACAGTTAGGACTAAACTATGGGAGCAGGGCTATGGAGCTCAAATACTGTCCCTTTGATAGGGAGGACCCGGGAGAGCCAAGAGACTCACTGATTCACCTTGGTCTTATGCCCGTCACCAAGTTCTCCCCTTCTGCTTATGCTACAGACAATCCTTGCCTATGTTTTGCCAGGTTCATTTGGCAGCTGACTTCAGTGTGAAGAGCCAGCACTTCCTGACCTGCCTGTGTTTTGGGCTCTGTTAGCCCCTTGACCTTGGGTCTGAGATGTGATTCAAGCCTTCTGTCATTCCAAGGTGGCCCCTGATAAGCAGGAGAGGCCTGAATTTTTTTTCAATCCTCTGGAGTTCCAACTACCTGCTGAGCCTATCCTGGGGGACTTCAGTGTGGCCTTGGTGTTCTCTAGGTACTCAACCTCTGCCAAGGAGCAGTGCGGGCCCAGAGATTCAGTGTCTGCTCCAGTCAGTGTGGTCCTTCACTCTGCAGCAGAAGCAGGCTAGGTAGGGTTCTTTTGCCCATTGCATATGTGGGGAAACTGAGGCCCAGCCAGAAGAAAGAAGTTGCCCAAGGGCCTAGCCATGTTCTTAACAGGGTCAAAGTCCCAGTGATTCTACTAAGCATTCTCCTGGCTGTTTCTGTTTGTTTGGCTTTATTTATTTATTTTTAAAGACAGAGTCTCATGTAGCTCAGAGTGGTCTCAAATTTATGAAAATATCTTGAGAACAGCCTTGAAGTCCTGATCCTTTGGCCTCCACTCCCTCCTGCGTGCCGGGATTATAGGTGGGTACCAAATACCACCATGCCTGGCTCTTCTGACTCTTTTGACAGGGCTCGGCACCATAGCTGCTTCTGCTGGGAACAGAAGCATGGCTCAGGTCACCCTCTCCCATCAACCTTACTGTGGTTAGCCTTGTATGGGCCACATGTCCCACATCATTGGTGACAGCAAGGAAACTGATCACCCAGCTATTGTGTGAGGTGGGCTCCCTCCTGAGTGCTTGGCTGTGGCAGTCCGGGAAGAGCCAATGGGTGCTCACCTTGAGGATGTAGTGGTCCAGTTCCTCCCTGTCCAGGGCTTTAGCCACAAACACTTCACCAATGGAGTCATTGCTGGTGACAATCTCAAAAGCCCCAGCAATGTTACCAGAAGCCAGGGAGAAGACCACCTATGGGAGGAGAGAGAGGGATGGCTGGTCAGGCTCAAGGGGCTGCCTGGCCTCTGTGCCCATTATTCTTCTGCTCTACTGGGTGCTGGAAGAAAGGGAGAATGCCGAGGAAAGGAATCAGACCCACCAAGGCTGGATGTGCCTCACAGGTAGGTCCAGGGAATGTTAGCAAAATAGGTCTGAATCTCACCACTTAAATCCCCCTTCCTGCTTGGTGACAGGAGTGGCTCAGACATCCCCAAAGAAGTAGGAAACACCCTATAGCTTGGGTAGACCCTGGCTTGGTGCCCACCTGTCCATTGCTGCCAGCATCAGGGTCCCGAGCCTTGACAGTGGCTACTTTCTGGCCCACAGGGCAGTCCTCAGGCACACTGATGGCCGAGTCAGAGGTGAAGTCAAAGCGTGGGCTGTTGTCGTTCTCATCCAGCACAGTGATGTAGACCTGGGGACAGACACCCTCAGCTGCTTGCCTCTGTCCGCAAGATGTCCTTAGACCATGAGGTCAGCAGGGACCTTCAGCAAGCATTCAAGCCCAGACCCATCCTAGCTGCTCGCTTCTCCGAGCAATGTGTGTGTGTGTGTGTGTGTGTGTGTGTTCACGTGCAGGCATGTATATGGTGCACACTTATCACCAGGGCCAGGGCAGGGACAGCTGGGAAGCTGGGTTCTGGCTCATGGGAACGAAGGCCAGGAATACCCATCTTGGCACTGGTATTACTTCCTGTTTTTCAGGAGAATTAAGGAGTTCAGATTTTTATATGAAATGAGCCAATGAGTCACAGAAAGGAAAATCAAGTCCAGGCTGGTTTGAAACACAGCTGCTGGCCAGATTCTGGCCTCCTCATTAAAGAGAGAGGGCTAGGTCAGGAGCAGGGATCTACTGTGACCCAGGGGTCCCAGTGGGGAGGGAAGCTCCATGAAATTGCATGTTCTTTCATGTCTGTGGTCTGGACTTCAGATGGACAGGGGCACCTTGAGTAAGAAGAAGGTAGGCCCACTGTGGGTGTAGCCACCAGCCCTGAGAAGACCACAGGCCACAGAGACTACAAAGGCTGCTATGCTTGTCACACTGACTACCAGGGACAGGTTGGGAGGTGGCCTGGGTTTTAGGAACCCAAGGCTAGGCCTCCTCAGGCTGCTCCACCCCAGGCTAGTCCTCATCATCCTGATTGGGGCCGTGACTTCTGGATCCCATATCTGTCTTTTGGAGTGCACGGCACTCACGGTCCTTGTGGGCCCTTCCCATCCTACAGAACGAACTCACTGTTCACTCTCTCTGAAGCAGGCTGCCTTTTTTGGTTTCAGCCACACCCTACCATGTCATCATGCAGCTGTCAGGACCCAGGGAGAGCTGGGTCACCTCCTCCATTTCTGGCTGTGTGAGTTTGGACACGGTTATTCAACCTCTCTGGCTTTCCACTCTCTCAGCGGAAAACTTTCGAAACAAGAACACACACTACACTGGATGCCAGAAGCAGGAAGTGAAAAAATACAGGTGAGGGTGGTGGATAGTAATCTTCATTGTCCCTCCTTCCTGTCTGATGGACACTTAGTCTTTCTCCCAATCAGTCAGTCCTTGTCTATCAGGGAGTATTCTGCATCCGCTAAGCAAGCAAGTTGATATGGGAAATGGAAATGGTAATGCCCAGTGTCCTGTGCTCAGGGCAAAACCCAGCAGAGAAAACTGCTGTGGTTGGACCTTCAAATTCTTTGGCCAGCCGAGGTCCTCACACCATATAGCCTGCATACATCCTGTTCCCTCTGCCAAAAAACAAAAAACAAAAAAACAAACAAACAAAAAAACACCTTTTTTCTCTGTTGGCTTCATTAACTCATTCTGCAGAGCCCAGCTTGAGTGGCCTTCAGCAAGCCTGCCTGGGTTCCCTGACATCTTATGAAGCATATATTAAGCCACAGGGATGCTGTGACCCGGATTTTTGCCTCAATCTAGTTCTTGCTGTGCAGGCTGGGTTAAATCTGCTTTGGGTTTCTGACTATGCCCAACAGAGACTTGGCATAGTCAGTCATTGACCCTGCCATGGCTGCTACTCTGATCTCTTAGTGGTGGATGTGAGGGTGGGTGGTGGGTGGGAAGGGAGCCAGCCTCGGTGAGCGAGAAGAGACGGGGCCTTTTCCAGCTCCCTGTGTCAGAACCTCATTTTTCCCCTGCCCATCCCCCAGCACCCAAGTGTGCAACTCAGGAGCTCCTAGAGCTGAATCTTCCTTCCTGCCCCATCCCCCATTGCTGGGGCAGGGAGGAGTCAGGTGGAGGTGAGCTAGCTGTGGTTTGGCTCCTGGCTTCAGAGAGGAAACTGTACCACCTTTAAAGGCCTTTTCCTGCACCTACACCCTAGTATCTCACACAGTGTGGGGCCAACTGGGCTGTGTATCTGGGGCATGAGGAGAGCAGACAGCTGAGTGGGAGAGAATGCATGAAGTACGTGCCAGCCCCACCAGACAAAGGGGTTCCTGGACACCAGAGTGACATCACATTCTCACGGGATACCCAGCCATCCCAGCCTCCATTCCCTGAACCTTCACCACCACTGAGGGCTGAAGGGCAGCTGGGCCCACAGTACTGAGAGAGATGCTAAGGTCTGCTCAGAGCCCCCAGCTATACCCTCCAAGTCTCAGGCCATCCTGCTGGGAGATTTAGGACCTGGGACTCCTGCCTGCTGCCCCAGGAGTAGAAGAGAGGCAGCTATGTGGGGATCAAATCCCCATTCACTCTGAGTGCCACCCCAGGCCCAGCTCATCAGAGACTTTGTCTCACACCTCTGACTATAGTAGTCACTGTCCCCAAGAGCCTCAGCCCAGAGTCCTGGTAATGGGGCTCATTCAGGTCACCCTGCAATTAAAGCTACCATCTCAGGTACTCCCTGGGCTCTGGCCCTGAGCATTCTCTTTCATCTCTCCCTCCTAAGATCTGCCACCCCTGCTGAGGAGGACAGGGCTACTGGGAGGATCCTCCCCCTCCCCCCAGTTAGGGAGGGAAAGGAAACCCAGAAGTTAGGCAGCTTTCTTTGTCACAGAGCCACTGAGAGAGGTCTCGCTGTCCCTTCCTGTGCATGTTCCGGGTATTTCTTTGTTATCACACTTCCATCTTATGGTCCCATAGGGACCAGATAGAACATGGAGAACAGAGCTTGGGATGGGGAAGAGGATGGGATGGGGAGGTCCTGAAGGGTCTGAGCAGAACACCTGCTGCAGATGTTCATGTGCTTCTCATTTTCATTTTACAATGATGGATTGGTTCAGTGTGTGTTGCGGGGTAGCTGGATGGGAGTAGGTGGATGGGAGTGAGCACAGACGTGGGCCACAGCATTTGTGTGGAGGTCAGAGGACGACTTGGGATTGGCTCTATCCTTCTACTATGGGGGTCCCAGGATCAAACTCAGGTCACCAGGCTTCGTTGCTGTGGGAAAATGGTCTTGTACCCTGTAAAGATTTGTCACTTGTATTGCTTTAATAAAAGGCTGATTGGCCAGTAGCCAGGCAGGAAGTATAGGTGGGGAGACCAGGCAGGAAGTATAAGTGGGGCAAGGAGAACAGGAGAATTCTGGGAAGAGGAAAGGTGCAGTCTGCAGTCATCACCCAAACACAGAAGAAGCAAGATGAGAATGCCTCCCTGATAAAAGGTACCAAGCCACATGGTGAACACAGACAAGAATAATGGGTTAATATATGATGTAAGAGTTAATTAATAAGAAAGTCTGAGCTAAGAGGCCAATCTGTTTATAATTAATGTAGGCCTCTGTGTGTTTCTTTGGG